CTCCTGACCTCAAATAATCCTTTGGCCTCAGCCTCACAAAGTCCTGGGATTATAGGTGTGAGCCACTGCGCTCAGCCAATAATTATTTATTATCTTTTTTCTTCCTTTGGTCTCAGCCTCATGAAGTGCTGGGATTACAGGTGTGAGCCATTGCGTCCAGCCAATAATTATTTATTATCTTTTTACTTTGTCTTTCTGTATTATCTTTTTCTTTTTCATAGGTCCTACGGGTCAGGAATTCAGGATCTACATCCAAGGAGGCTCACTCACTTGGCTGGTAAATTGGTGACGGCTGTAGGCTAGGGACCTTAGTCCCTCTCCGCAGACGGCTTGAGTGTCCTTATGGCATGGTGGCTGCTGTCCCCAGAGTAAATGACTCAAAAGAAAAAGGGAGGAGCTCAATGCCTTTATGAGCTAGATTCAGAAATCACATACTGTCACTTCTGTCATATTCTTTTGGTCACATGAGTCAAATCTGATTCAGTGGGGGAGAGGTCTACACACACAGATGAATGCCAGGAGGCAAGGATCATTGCTGACAATATTGGAGGCCGGCGACCACATCACGGAATGCCAGAGCAGCCCTACCTCCAAAGGCCTTGAATGTGAGAGAGAAATGCATTTTACCTTGTCTAACTAAAGTTAAGGTTGTGAATATACACCTATGAATTCTTGACACAAAGTAAGCCCTCAATAGATGCTAACTCTTATTAGTCTTTTTCTCTAGGTTGAGGCATAGGACTTTGTCTTATATTCCCCTCTCCACACACAAACATACACACATATACTGCCACCTTCTAGACTGAGGTTTGGTACAAGGTAAACCTGGGAGGCTGTGTATTAGCCTTTTCATTCATTCGTGCAACAAGTATTCATTATATATATATATATATTTTTTTTTTTTTTGAGATGGAGTCTTGCTCTATTGCCCAGGCAGGAGTGCAGTGGCACATTCTCAGCTCACTGCAACCTCCACCTCCCAGGTTCAAGCGAGTCTCCTGACTCAGCCTCCTGAGTAGCTGGGATTACAGGTGCGCCAGCACGCCTGGCTAATTTTTGTATTTTCACTAGAGACGGGGTTTGTCCATGTTGGCCAGGATGGTCTCAAACTCCTGACTTCAATGATCCGCCTGCCTCGGCCTCCCAAAGTGCAACAAGTATTCATTATTGCCCACGCCGTGAGGAAGGCAAGCACAATGAGATGGAAAACAACCGTATCTCTATCATTAGGAAGTCAGATAATTCCAAGTGCCAGGGTCCAGGTGGAGAAAGTGGTCCCTCGTGCCCTGCTGCTGGTCATGTAGACTGAGGCAGCCGTCATAGAGTGCAGTAACTGTGTGTTTTCTCTCCACCCAGGGATCCTGCCCCCGAGGGATATCCCAGAGAAATACACACAGGAGTCCATGAGAGTCGCACACTGCAAGTCCATCACAGCTTTGCTTGGGGAGGTGGGAACTGGAGCTAGCCAGCATCCATCACTAAAGTGGTGGGAAAAGGAGGCGTGGTGGCACACGCACACCGTGCATGCTGAGCAGCAGTGGGAAGCAAGGGACTTGAGCTGGACTCAGCACACAGAGCAGTATCGAGGAAACAAAATAGCCTATGACACACATCTATTGAAACTACTATTTATGTACATTAACAACCCCCACACACAAATCAACACCATGCACATTTTATAAAGACACATATATATCCAAAGACATGCATCAGAGATATTCGAGTGGGTGTCCTGTGAGGGGAGGGAAATGGAAATGAGAATCAGGGATGAAGACAGAAAAGTCAAAATATGGTGTGATGAACACAACAAGACTTTGCAGCAAGGTTGGGAAAAAGTGGCAAAGAGGCCTTCACCATCTGCTACTCTGAACACTGGCAGAGGACTAGGCATGTCTGCTCAGACCCAAAGGGACAGCATTCCAGGCAGGAAGGACAGCTGGAGCACAGGCTCAGAGATGTGCACAGCGGGTGCCTCTGAGAAACAAATGCTTTTTGTGAGAGTGAAGTGTGCCCATGGTCAGAGAGGCAGGGGCCAGCCTCTACCCTCTCAGCCTGTAATACCTATCTCCTCTTATCTGGCAGACTCCTACTCAGCCCTCACAGGCCTCTAGGCTCCCTCAGAAGCCATGTGGTTAGGGAAGGAGCAACCGCTTTGGAGTCAGAACAATCTGAGCTCCCACATTGGCCCACCGTGTGACCTCAGGCAAGTCACTTTCCCCTCTTTGAACCTCCATTTCTTTATCTGTAAAATGGGAGTAATGACAATACTACCTCAGAAGGTTGTGTTGGGAAGGAAGTGAGATAAGCAAAACACACAAAGTCCCTGCCCCATGGAGCTTATACTTTAGTGCAGGAAGATAGGTGGTAGACAAATAAATATGTAACATGTCTACTGCTGTATCCACAGTACCCAGAACTGTGCCTAGCACATAGCAGGTGCTCAGTTAATATTTGTAGAATGAATAAGTGAATGAATGAAAGTCAGTGGTAAATGCTATAAAAAGAAATAAAGCAGGGTAAGGGGAAAAGGAGAGCTGGGGATGCTAGCAGGTGGGAGGAGCCATTACCGTTAGTGCTGGTGGTCAGGGAAGGCCTCCCTGAGATAAGATTTGAGTGAAGATTTGAAGGAAATGAGGGAACAAACTATGAGACTATCAGGGGCCGGGGGGCCAGGAAGAAGTGGGCTCCAGGTTTAGTGGGGAGGCCAGTATGGCTGGAGCAGAGTGAGGGACAGAGAATGGGGGAAGCTGAGGTCCCCTGTGTAGGTGAGCTGAGAATGTGGCAGGAGTCCCCTCTGCACTCCCAGGGACAAGAACTAGAAAAGTCCATGCTGCTCGGCCCTTTCCCAGGCAGTTCGCTGGGACCAGGCCCTAAAAACAGTAGCACAAACTCCTCGCAGGTGTTGAGCACTCCTGTGTGCCAGGCCCCAGCTCTACTGGCACAAACTCATGGAACCATCACCAGCCCTGGGAATGAGTACTATTATTATCTCATTTTCAGAGCAGGCAACTGAGACTCTGGGAAGCAGCTGACCTTGGAACCGGAACTGGGTCTCTCTGATACCAGACCCTGGCTTGCTCCTACCACATTGTCTTGAAATCCTTTGTTTACAGCTCGCCTTCCCCTCTCGGCTGCAGAAGGCCTGTCTCAGTCTCATTCATGGTTTTCTTTTACTCCCAGGGTCCCAAGTGTCGAAATCTGCCTAAGGAGCGAATAAATGAATGAGCCTACAAGGCAAGCCCCTCTTCGCCTTCCGGGCCCAGTTCACGCCTTGTTTGGCATCTCCAGTTGGAGGTGGAATTGGGAGAGGGCTGGACAGAGGAATTTCAAGCTGCCTGAGGGTCAGGAGCAGAGAGGAGGGGGAGAAGGGGGAGAAAGCGAAAGTGAAGTGAGCTGGGAGCCCCTGTGAGGAGGCGCAGACAGGGAAGGAAATCTCCCGGTAATAATTCATCGGCTCAGGAAGCAGCAGCCTGGCCTGGGGCTGTGTGTGGGACCAGCCCTGCGGGGAGGGGGCCCATGCTGGCTGCCTTCCTCCTCCCCAAAGCCCAGCCTGGCTGGGGTCACGGTCAAATGGTGGCGGTGGGGGGATCCAGGTGTGGGAACAGACTCTCCCGCAGACCCTGGATCCTAAGGGGCTCCTCCCCCGGCAGCCATGTGAAACCCCTCGTTCCCTCTTCTTCCCCCAGTTCTGACCTGGATCAGGGAAGCCGGGAAAGCACAGCACGGCAGAGCTGCAGGCATCGTCAGAAAAACAGACGCCCAGAGGAGCCAAAATGCACCTAGGAGCCTTTCAACTTCACTCTGCTATACCGGCTGCCATTCGGGCTTATTTTCAAGGCCAAGTGGGATACTGGTTTAGCTAGTGCCTGGAGAGAGCTGAGCAGCAGGCACGAGTGAGATGGAGACCCCAGCAACCACCGTTGGCTCAGCAGTTCTCTGAGGAGGACATATCAGGCTGAACAATCTAAGGTTTCTAAAAGGAAGGCAGGCGTTGAGGAAAGATAGCCCGTGTGTGTGCGATGGGATGGTGGTGGTAGGATTCCAAGAAGTAGTGAAACCGGACAGGCTGGAGCTAGCGCCCCCACTCCCACCTGTATGACTGAAGGCCAGAGCTCTCTTACCTGTAACTCAGGGCTGCCATACTGCAGCCTCAGCTGGGCTCAATAGAGTATATAGCACCGCGTCTGGCACACATTAGTGCCTCAACCAAAACATCAGTTCCGTGAGGGTGAAAAATTTGTTTTGTTAATGGCTGTATCCTCAGACCTAAAACCATGCCTGACACATAGTAGGGATCCAACGAATATTTGTTGAATAAATGAACGAACTACTGGTGTTTGTGTGTTGTGGTTTTGTTTTGCTTTTTTTTTTTTTTTTTTTTTAAGTTTGTCTTCAGGGACAAGACACCATCGAATCTTCATTTGGAGAGATTATAGCTTTTCTCCAAGTGTTCTCCACTGACACCACCACTATCACCAATGGCTTGTTACAAAATGCACGTTCCTGGGCACGTTCCAGAACTGCTTAATCAGAATGGGAGCAATCTGGGACTCTGTAATAGCAAAAGCCCCCTCCCCAGTTCTTACGCACATGAAAGTTGCAGAACTACAGGATTAGAATTTGAGGGTAGGAAGACACTAGCTGTTTCTCTGCAATCTGAACGTTCCGAATGAGGAAACTGAGTCCAAGAGAGGAAAAGGGACCTGCCTGCGTCTCCCAGGTGGTCCAGGCTGGGGACAAAAAGTTCGAATCTGGGCCCACCCCGGCCGACTCGCCCAGACCTCCAGCATCTGCCGGGCTAGCCAGCCGGGAACGGGAGCCTTCGGGGTGGGCCACCAGCTCCCGGGCCGCTTTCAACCTGGGGAACGGAGGCGGTGGGCGCGTAGTCATTGGCCACGGCGCAGAGGGGACCTCCCCATTGGCCAGGCGGAGCCCTCCGCCCCCGGCCGGGGCGGCCTTGCCATTTGGCCCCTCCCTCGCCTATAAGGCGGGGGCCGGCCGGGCCGTAGGAGCGCGCGGGAGCGCACGGCGGGGCGCGGCCAACGCTGGGACGCGGCGCTCGGAGGGACGCGGCCGGCTCCCATGGCGTTCGCGCTGCTGCGGCCAGTCGGCGCGCACGTGCTGTACCCGGACGTGCGGCTGCTAAGCGAGGACGAGGAGAACCGCAGCGAGAGCGACGCGTCGGACCAGTCGTTCGGCTGCTGCGAGGGCCTGGAGGCGGCGCGGCGCGGCCCGGGCCCCGGGGGCGGGCGGCGGGCGGGCGGCGGCGCGGGCCCCGTGGTGGTGGTGCGACAGCGGCAGGCGGCCAACGCGCGGGAGCGGGACCGCACTCAGAGCGTGAACACGGCCTTTACGGCGCTGCGCACGCTCATTCCCACCGAGCCGGTGGACCGCAAGCTGTCCAAGATCGAGACGCTGCGCCTGGCATCCAGCTACATCGCGCACCTGGCCAACGTGCTGCTGCTGGGCGACTCGGCCGACGACGGGCAGCCGTGCTTCCGCGCCGCCGGCAGTGCCAAGAGTGCCGTCCCCACCGCCGCCGACGGCGGCCGCCAGCCGCGCTCCATCTGCACCTTCTGCCTCAGCAACCAGCGCAAGGGGGTGAGTGTGCTGCGTCCTTCACTGCAGCCACTGGGTCGGGGTAGGCGGGGGACGTTGCCTCTCCGGGAAGGGGCCCCAACGAGGCCAGGGGGAAGCAACGTGGAATTCGTGCTGGGTGCGGCTCCCTAAGCCCAGGGTCTGGTGTGGAACAGAACCACTGACTTAATGTCCTGTCCCCCAAACAGAAAGGATGCAGGAAAACCCAGAGTTCGGGTCTGATTTAACTCCTCAGTGTGGGATATCCCCTCCAACGAAAGGTGTGCTGGTACTTCCTTCCTGCTGGGAAGACGGCATGAGGACGGAATAACAAAGTCCATCTTTTATTGAGTCTTCCTCTGTGCTGATGCGCTCCACATCCACTTTTTTGCCTTCACAAGAATCCCTTCAGGCAGGTAGTTTTTCTGCCCATTTTATCCTCGTGAGGATCTGAGCATCAGAGATGGAATCACCTGCCCACATTTACTCAGCTGGGAAGCCGGGGTGCTCGCCCTAGGTTTGCCCGGTGTGTGTTGCCCCCACCTTGAAGTAATTGTCCCCTGTCCTGAGATCTAACCCAAGAGCAGGAGACTGAGAAGAAAGGAGGCCACAAACCCCCAACCGAGAGCCTGAGGTTCCCAGCGGATGGATGAGCAGTTGGCTCAGCTGGAGGGAGCTGGTGTGCAGCTCCTGCAGTGTGTCCTGGGCAAGGAAGTGGACCAGGCTAGTAGGGGTGGGCGGGGGCTGTGTGGCAGCAGAGGTGGCCTCTTGGCTGAAACCTTGCCCAGGCCCCAAGGAACCTGCTTCATCCCCAGACCGTGTGCCTTTCTGGCCTGGGTTTTTCCTACAGTAAAGAAGCCTGTCTAACAACTTGTATTCCAGCAGCTACCATTTGCATCCGGGGAAACTGAGCATGAGAGAGTACTGACTTTTGGTGGCCAAGTGGAAGGGCATGGGGAATTGGAGTTAGGCCCCTGACTCCCTGCTGTTTGGTTCTCACAGCTCCCCTTGGTCCCTTGCTCCACCCTGTTCTGCGGAGGCCTCTGCATCTTGGCCTGAGACCACCCTCCGTCTGGCTCATCAGACATCCAGCCTGCTTTCTCAACACTTGGCTGCCTCAGTTGCCCTGAATCCATCTTCTTAGCCTCAGGCTTGTACCCTCTCCATGGTCCTTACTGCTCCCAGCTGTGGGCCCCTGTCAGTGCCCCAGGCTGGGCTGAGAAGCCAGGAGTGGGCCTTTAAGGCTTCCTGGGATGGGAAGACCTGAAGGGGCCCTCAGGGATACTCCCTGACTGCCTTTCACCCATTCATTCCAGTTAGCAACCCTTAGCTACCTGACAGCTGCCTGCTGTTGGCTCTGAGAACCCCAGAGAAGCAGGTTATAGGTCCCTACCCATCCACCAGTCAGGACCTGACAGTGCAGCCCCAGGGTCAGGGCAGGGAGATGAAGATGAGGATGCTGTGGTCTAATGATGGGGTAGGGGAAGCACAAAGGGATTCTCAGAGCCCAGAGGAAGCCCCCAACCCAGGGTGAGTGCTGACAGGGTTTCTGTGTCACGTTTCTGAAGGATGCTTTAGAACAGGGACAGGCCGATGGAAAGGGTGTTCTAGGATTGGGGCATACAGCAAGAGCTGAGGCCTAGAGAAGGAAGAGGGAAGAGGCTAAAAGTGGTGGGAGTGCAGAGGGGGAGCACAATGGCCCATAACCGCAGTGACAGCAGCCTTCATGAGCACTGATCTGTGCTAAGCACTCTTCATGGGTTATCATTAAAATCCCACAACAGCCAGGAATGAGGCGCTACGGTTATCCCCACTTGCTTAGAGGAGCTGCCAGTGGCGCAGAGATACACAGTGACGGAACCAGGATTCAAACTCAGGCCTGCCTGGTCGAGACGTGGGATAGGTTACAGGGGGAAGTCCCTGTAACTATCATGTGTCCACCCCCACAGCAGGCAGGCTGGGGGACTTCTCTGCAGGTCTCAGGCCTGTCCCACAGCTCACAGGGGCCTCCCCTGGGCCTGGCTGCTTCCCTGGGATCTGTCTATGGGACCAAGAACCCAGCCAAATTTGGCTGTAGAAACAATGCTCTCAACCCCACAGTCTCCTCTGGGAATAGGCGAGAGGGGCGATCCTGGCCAGCTATGGCCCCTTGAAGACTCTGCTGGAAGAAAACTGGCTGTCTTGGGGAGCTGTTGTTCCCTTCTGAGCTTTGGGGGGGCCAGAGAGCTTTAAGACCCAACATCCTGTTCCTTTACCCCGAGCCACCACCTCCCTCCCATCCTGGCCAGTCTGGAGTTGGGGTTGCCATGGAAACAGTTCCCTGTAGCATCTTTCTGTTGAAGGAGGGGTTAGGTGTGGCCCTCTGCAGTAGAATTAGCAAGTGGGAGGTGGAACGGGGGTTCTTGTCTCTGCCCTGTTTTCCCTTTGTCACCTGGGGGTGGGGATCAGACAGGATCATCTTGTAAGGCTCTCCCCTGTTGGTATACCCAGAGAGTAGCTGGGACCAGAAGGCACTCTCAGTAGATGATGCTGATAGTAATACTTATGAACATTTACTATATTCCCAACACTGTACCAAGGCTTTACCTAGATTAGCCTGTGTAATCTTATGTTAGCTTGTGTGATCCTATAAAGTAACTCCCCTTTACGGCGGGGGGAGACTGAGGCTCAGTGAGATGAAATCACTTGCCTGAGGTGCAGTAGTTGCCCCTTGGCAAAGTAGGGATCGAAGCCTAGGTCTGTCTCACTTAAACCTAACTCCTAACCATGGTGCTTCCCGAAGACCCTTGGTGCTAAGTTCCTAAGGAACAAACAAACTGGGGTCTTGTAAGGACCTCTTTTTTTTTTTTTTTTGAGACGGAGTCTCGCTCTGTCACCCAGGCTGGAGTACAATGATATGATCTCAGCTCACTGCATCCTCTGCCTCCTGGGTTCAAACAGTTCTCCTGCCCCAGCCTCCCAAGTAGCTGGGATTACAGGCACCGGCCACCACACCTGGCTAATTTTTTGTATTTTTAGTAGAGACGGGGTTTCGCCATGTTTGGCCAGGCTGGTCTCGAACTCCTGGCCTCATGTGATCTGCCTGCCTGGGCCTCCCAAAAGTGCTGGGATTACAAGCATGAGCCACCGTACCCGGCTGTCAGGACCTCTTCTAAGCACACTTAGCAGCTTACACAGCTGCATTCACATTCGACTGCACCTTGAGATGGCAAGTAAAATCATCTTGTCCCCATTTCGTAGATGAAGAAACCGAGGTTCAAGGAGGTGAACAGTCCCAGCATTCTTCTGGGACCCCAGGTCTCCACATGACCTCTAGACTTGGGGTGGAAGGGGGCAGCTCTCCCTGTCCCTGAGGACTTAAAGAGTGAAAGAGGGGAAGGCCAGTTTTCTAATTCAACCTTAATATTGCACCCCCTCCCCTATCTGCCCTTCTCAGCCACTCCTGCCAGAGTTTGTCTGAGAAGCCTAAGCCCCAGGCTCTGCTGGGACTGTGGCCTCAGCCCTCAAAATAGCCCTGCCTGTGAGTGAACATGATGTCCCTGGGCTGCAAGAGCCTCGAGGGAGGCTGGGCTTGCATCTGGATGGATCTGCCCCAACCTGGACCTGGGGGTGGAGGGGGCAGGGGGCAGAGCTCCCAGATGGTCAGCTGTTTCTCTAAGTGGGCTGAGAAAGCTGCCTGTTCCATCATCATCTAGCCAGGCTCAGGGCGATGAGCATTTACAGTGGGATTTCAGACACTATCGTGTCCTGGAAACAGGACAGATTGTTGGACAACATAGATTTCTAGCCCAGCTCTTTTACAACTGGCTGGGTGCCTCTGGGCCAGTCAGTCAGTGGCTGGAGGCCTCAAAAGAGGGGGTGCTCTAACATCTGTGACCTCTCTGGCTTATGGTGAGGATGAAACATGTGTCCAGTCTGAAAATATCAATGAGAAGAGCTGGTAAAGACAGCCCCTGTAGGGACTGATGATTTCAGGGACTGCCACCATTAGCCCATCTTCCAATGGCTGCCACTTAATTCAGGCAGCATTGATTGGTGCCTGCTCCAAGTCAGGTCCCGGTCCAAGAGAGCCCAGGCTGGAAATGGGACCACAGAGTCAAGAACTCCTTTTCCCTACCATTCCCTGAGATCCCAGTCCAGATGGTGGGACAAAGGAGAGACCCTGCCTTGTCCTTCTGAGATTCATCCCCATGGAATGTCCCCAGAAAGACAGGAAGTGCTAGGCAATTTAGGAACGGAGAAACCTTTCCAGGGAGACAAGACCTGAGAGCACATTCCTGGCAAAGGGGACGCCCTGAAAGAAGTCAAGGAGGCCAGAAATCCAGTCCCCTTTTGAAGGTGGAAGAGTGAGCCACTAGGCATGCAGTCAGGCAGGGGGAAGACCACTGCGGGGTGTGCTGGTTTTGCCCATGTAAAATACTATGCTTTAAAATGTATTGGATCTTTTTTTTTTTTTTTTAAGCAACAGATCATATGGGAAAGAAATGGAAATGGTAAAAAAGTATAGCGTGAATACAAAAATTAATCAAGCGTGGTAGTGGTCGCCTGTAGTCCCAGCTACTTGGGAGGATGAGGCAGAAGAATCACTTGAACCCAGGGGGAGGAGGTTGCAGTGAGCTGAGATTGTGCCACTGCACTCCAGCCTGGCCACAGCAAGACTCTGTCTCAAAAAAAAGTATAACATGAGAGAGCCTCCCTCCCATCCTCTCTCCATCATCAAATTCCTCTCTGAAGAAACCCACTCGCGATTTCCCACGTGCACTTCTCTCCAGTAATCACAGCACACAGGCGCATTCAGCCTGCTCCTTGCTTTTGTCCTTAAACATTGTCATTCGGCAGCAGTCGTATCAGTCCAGAAAAGGTTTCTTCTGCTTTCTGCTGCAGAGAACTTGATCGTGTGGCTGAACTGTGATTTATTTATCAGGATCCCTGTTGGTGGATACAGAGGTTAGTGTTCACACTGGCCTGATCGAACCTCCTTATACTCTTTCTCCCCCTCTGCAGGGTGGCCGTCGTGACCTGGGGGGCAGCTGCTTGAAGGTGAGGGGGGTGGCCCCCCTTCGAGGGCCACGGAGATGAGCCTGGACCCTGGAGAAGGAGGCCAGGAGCCAGCCACTGGCTGTACAGGGAAGAAGACCCCAGGAGCCGAGCCCACCCCTTCTTTGTGTGGGGACCAGGGGACCATGGCCTGGGTCCAGGACACTCTGGGCAGGGCCCTCGGGACATCTCCACCCTATCCCGGAGAACTGTGAGGATCCATTCAGCCTGCACAGCTCTGGCTGGTCAGAGACAAGGCAGAACTTTTGGAAAAACAAAGACTGTTGGTGACAGAGGGTGTGTGTGTGTGTCTGTGCGTGAGTGTGAGTGTGTGTGAGGGAGAGAATTGGTGAGTTTAAAATAAAAGCTATTTTTAAATAAAAGACGTCGTTCTGAGCTGAGGAGGGGGCCTGTGAACATCGGAGGTCAGAGGTGGGCCCTCCCCTGGACTTAGAGAGAGGCACAGACGTTCCAGGGGCTGCCCTGAGCCCTGGAGGGGTGGGGCTGGGGAAGACAGGCAGAGCCCGCTCTCCGGGAGCCATAACCAAACCTTCCTCAGTCTGCTATTTATCAGATGTTCTTAACAACTGTTAGGTGTCTGGTATGGTTGGTAAAGAAATCTTAATTTTATTTATTTTTGAATAAGGACTGCGTTCATTTCATTCACACAGTTCAAAATTCGGAAGGTACCAGAGGATATGTGTTGAAAAGTCTCCCTGCCCCTGTCTTCCGGCCACCAGTTCTCCTCTCTGCAAGCAGCCTAGGGCACCAGTTTCCTGTGATGTCCCGTTCGCTATGAATGATCAGGCAAATACACAAATGACAGCACCTCATACACACTTTCAACTCCTTTTTTTCCTTAATCTAGCTTGGTATCATCCCAAGTCAGTACCTAAAGGGTATTTCATTTCTTTCTGAGCTGCTTATTATTCCATTTTGTGAACGTGCCGTCCTTCAATCCCTCTTTGATGCTATCACCAACAAGGCATGTGGTTTTCCACAGGTGCAAATGAGTGCATGCTAAAGGGGAATATTCCTACCGCTGTGTTATCTGAAATGACTTAGAAGACCAATGACATCCAGAGGCACATGGCAGGGTGACACGGTGACACCCTGAGTCCGTCCACCTTTGAAGCCCAGAGCAGCTCCTTCCCTGCCCTGGAGATGCCCCAGGTGGAAAGCCAGCACCTGTTACCCCAATTACACTCCCAGGAGCCCTAGGAGGTGAAGGCTGGTGTCTCCCCCATTGTAGACCCAGCAGAGACAGCGATGGGTACAGCTGATCAGTGCAGCTAGGAGTTCTTCGCTCTCTCAGGCTGGGGCTGTGTCCCTGTGAGGTGAGGATCAGAGAAGCTTGAGAGGCCTGAGGGTGAGAGAGCCAGGGAAAGGCCAGGGCAGCCAGGCAGCAACCCTCTCCTCAGTAAGGTGCATTCATATGCCTATCTCAACAGTTTATTTATTTAACAACACTTTTATTTTTAATTTATTTTTTTAAAGACAAGGTCTCACTGTGTTGCCCAGGCTGGTCTCAAACTCCTGAGCTCAAGTGATCCATTTCATGTTTACTGACTGAAGTCTGGCCCCAGAGTCCATATTCCTATCCCCTCTGTTCTGCCTCTACCCACTCCCCTGCATTTGACCCCCTGAGCCTGAATTGTGGCTCCCATTTTGCAAATTGACAAACAGATTGCCAATACCCTCTATGTGCCAGGCATTGTGCCAGATGCCACAGGAATGAGCCCGACCAACCTGGTCTTCCTCACAGATGAAAACCGAGGCCGGGGGAGATCAGGGGAGTTGTGGAATTGCCAGTCCCTAGGCTGGAGCAGGCCATGAAACCACCACGCTTAACCCCTTTGGTGTGAGAAGGAGAGGAAAGAGGGCCCCAGGGGGCCAGGGTCCCCCACCCAGGAGAGCTTTCCAAGCACCCTCTACCTCACTTCCCTGCTGTTCCAGGGACACTGGCGTGGTTATCCTGTGTCCCAGCGCGGCTGTGCTTCCCCCTTCGGGAACTGATTAGGAAAGCACATTGCTCTCCCTGCGCCTACCCCGGCCAGGTATAGCCAGCCTCTGGCAAAGCCACAGGAAAAGGACTGTGGCCTTGTCAATGGCAGGAAACCTGGGAGTGGGGGCAGAGCAGACACTTGGGTGCTCTGGCTAGAGGCCCACTCCGCCACCAGATTTGCTGGGTGACCCCGGAGATGTTGCTTGACCCCTCTGGGCCTCCCTGGCTCAATCTGTAACTAGTAAGAGCAGCTAGAACAGAAAAATAAGTATTTGTTTTGCTTTGTGAGATAGTTTTTACTATACCCTGTTTGCATTGGTAAGTAATCCAAGTTGTATCAAATGGTATGCAGTGAAAAGTACAGACCTCCCTCAGGCCCCTCCCCAGAGGCAGCTTCCTGAGTGTCCTTCCAGAAAGCTTCTATACTGATTACTGTTTCTGAAAAAAAAATTTATAGGTTTCCCTGCCTGCGTTTTCATTGTAAAATAAATGCAAAATGCTACAAGACTCTAGAAATATCACTCATCCCAAAGACAACCACAGTGAAGACTACAATCCCACCAAGTTTTGTTTTGTTTGAGACAGGGTCTCACTCTGTCACCCAGGCTGGAGTGCGGTGGCACGATCATAGCTCGCTGCAGCCTTAACCTCCTGTCCTCAAGTGATCCTCCACCTCAGCCTGCGGAGTAGCTGGAAATACAGGCATACGCCACCAGGCCTGGCTAATTTTATTTATTTGTTTATTTTGTAGAGACAGGTTCTTACTATGTTGCGCAGGCTGGTCTCCAGCTCCTGGGCTCAAGTGATCTGCCTCAGCCTCCCAAAGTGCTGGGATTATAGGTGTGAGCCACTGCACCCAGCTGTGCAGCATTTTCGTTAAATACGCACATATACACAACACAATCATTTAAACCATGCTAAGTTTACACTTTTTTTTTAAGATGGATCTCACCCTGTCACCCAGGCTGGAGTGCAGTGGCGTGATTTCAGCTCTCTGCAACCTCCACCTCCCGGGTTCAAGCGATTCTCCTGCCTCAGCCTCCCAAGTAGCTGGGAGTACAGATGTGCACCACCATGCCTGGCTAATTTTTGTATTTTTAGTAAAGACGGGGTTTCACCATATTGGCCAGGCTGCTCTCGAACTCCTGACCTCAGGTGATTCATTCATCTCAGCCTCCCAAAGTGCTGGGATTACAGGCATAAGTTACTGCGCCCAGCCAAGTTTACACTTTTTATGGAAGTATAAGACACATTCAGGAAAGTACACAGGGTGTACTTGAAATCAATGGGTTTTCACAAGCTGAGCACACCTGTATACCCAGCATGGATATCAAGAAATGCAATTAGCAGCTTCCCAGGAGCCAGCCCCTCTTGCACGTCTACCCATACTGGTTCTTTCCCTTGTAGAGACACAAAAAAGAATAAACTGACAATAAGTATTCTCTCCCAGCCACCCAGCTCCAGTCCTCAGAGGCAATTACTATGTTCAGGTAACCAGGATCCTATGGATTCCTGCAGAGATGGTCTGCATATATAGGCAAGTTACATAGATACTGTTTTTCCATACAAGTGGTAGCATTTTGCACACTCGTCTCTGCACTTGGATTTTTTTTTTTCTTAACCATACTTCGTGGAGACCCCGGTTGCTCACAGAGCTGTTGCATACCTTTTTGTAGCTGCATGGTGCTCCATTATGCATATTTTGCAGCTTGCTATCTTCCTGGTAATGGACAGTTAATGCCCATGAGCCTTGGTGAGCTGCAAGGTCAGCCCACACACAGGGCCAGGGAGAAGCACAGGTGTGGTCTGCATATATAGGCACCTCCTCTGGGGAACATTTTTTAGCATTGTCCACTCCCCCAGTATGCCCATCACCTCCAGGATGGTCCAGGTCAGCCAAGCTTCTCCAGGCCAACTTGGAGCCAGAGGAGTCAAGCTGCTCAGGGAGAATAAATCCAAGACTGAAGGGGTTGGAATGACCAACTCAGTCAAGCCACCTTGGACCCAAAGGGATACACTCTCCCCCCAAGTCTTGACACATGAAGCATCAGCACAATAATAATATCAGAGTTCATCATTTCACAATGAAGAAAGTGAGACAAGACAGAAGGCAACCTGCCTGTGGTTCCCCAGCAGGTCCTTGGCCCCGCTGAGACACCAAGGACCCAAATCTCCCTCCTTGCCAGGCAGGGCTGTCTTCTCTGACTCCACAATTATGGGCAGGAAGGCCTCAGAGGTCACCCATGGCAACCTGAAGCTCAGAGAAGAGTGGTGATGGGCCACAGTTGCACAGCATCTGGAGCTGAGCAGGGCTGAGAACACAGGGCCTCTTCCTCCAGCCCTGGGCACCCACAGCACTTCAGGTTCCCCTCATTGTCCCAGGCCACTTCCATTTTATGAGGCTTTTATTAGGTTAAAAAATAAAACACTACAAAACAGAGTGCTGAAGACTATGGCATATTTGGTAAGTTAACTTTTTTTTTGAGACATGGTCACACCCTGTCACCCAGGCTGGAGTGCAGGTGGCACAATCACGGCTCACTGCAGCCTCCAGCTCCTGGGGTCAGGTAATCCTAGCACCTCAGCCTCCTGAGTACCTGGGACTACAGGTGTGCACCACCATGCCCAGCTAATTTTTTATTTTGGGGGGGTTTCACCATGTTGCCCAGGCTGGTCTCAAATTCCTGGGCTCAAGCAATCCTCCAGCCTCAGCCTCCCAAAGTGCTGGGATTACAGGTGTGAGCCACTGTTCCTGGCCTGGCAAGTTAACTTTTAACTACCTCCACATAGTCAGGAGCATGATGCGTTATTAGAAACATTGGTTCATGGGGATGGGCATATGAAGATGGATGTCTTTGTTCAACTCCATCTGTGTCTCTTATGACTGTATATTTTACCTTGTGTAGTTGTGATATCAAGTCTAGACCTGAACAGGTAAATGCAATGCATGACTTTGAACTGGATCCTGTACTGCAGAGGGGAAAATGTGACAGGGGACCTTCTTGGTAGAGTTGACAATTTTTTTTTTTTGAGACATGGTCACACAAAATTGGGATATGAACAATAGATTAAGGTATTACATGAAACTTAAATTTTCTGTATTTGCTAACAGCACCCTGATTGTGTCAGAGGATATCCTTGTGCTTAAGAAATACATCCTAGGTCGGGCATGGTGGCTTAACTTGTAATCCCAGCACTCTGGGAGGCCGAGGCGGGCAGATCACCTGAGGTCAGGAGTTCGAGACCAGCCTGGCCAACATGGTGAAACCCTGTGGTGGTGGGCGCCTATAATCCCAGCTACTCGGGAGGCTGAGGCAGAATTGCTCGAACCCGGGAGGCAGAGGTTGCAGTGAGCCAAGATTGCACCATTGCACTCCAGCCTGGGTGACAGAGCGAGACTCCATCTCAAAAAAAAAAAAAAGAAAGAAAGAAAGAAAAAAGAAATACATCCTGAAGTACTATTAAGGAGGAGAGAAGTATGATGCAGGTAACGTGCTCTCTCAAATGGTTCAGAAGAAAAATAAATAATATGTGTGTGAGAGAAAAGGATGGAGTAAATATGACAAACTTAAAATGAGGTGGATCTGCGTACAGGGTATATGGGAGTTCCGCACACCACTTTGGT